TCAAGAGTTCTATCAACTGAACCAAGCTGATTCTACAAAGCATTTTCCCCGCTAACAATGAAACGCGATTCAGAATAAGTCAACAGAAGCAGCTTTGTTAATTATGTTTGGTAAGAATTCTTACAATTTCATCCAGTTGTAAACACACTGGGTCCTGATCACGACCGAAACGCAGAACCAGTACCCTCTCTGCTACGGTCTTAATGATGTGGTCAACGTCTTTCTTAGTTTGTAACTTTGGCAGCAAGAAGCTCATTTTCTCGACGTTCAAGGGAAACGCGAATCGAAAAAAAATAGTTAAACCAAAATTCACAAGCGACATGGGCGGGGAAAGCCAGCCACGAACCGGATGTAAACTGTCATAGGACTACTTCGAAACAATTCCCCAGAAACACAAAAGCAAGAATTATCAAAGCAATTCTAGATAGTAGTTATGCAGCGTGATTAAACAAAGCCTCAAAGTTTGCCATGTATTATTCGATAACAAACGACATTACAAAATAATGCAAGTTATAAGCACTCTGCGGGTGAACAAGGATTGGAAATTGAAAAATCTCGAGTAAATTGAATTGGGCGCATGCAATATTATTTTTAATATTACCCTAGCAGTGTTTTATGACATCGATTGCTAATAATAAAAAAAGGTTTTACAAATCACCAGTCATTTCGTGATTTTAAAACGGTCCTTTAAATACGAGTCTGCATTTTTCATGTGTAGTGCTAGTTTTTTTTAATGTTTAGGAAAGGATAAGTTCAGGGAGTATGGAAAGAGACGGACAGGCGCTGGGTGACCTTCCCCTTCCTTGAGATGGCTGCAGTTTGTGTGAATGAGATCCGGGCAAGGTTCTAGACCACGTTCCAAATCCGAATTTCGTGCCGGACCTCCAGAAGTTCGCAGGTGCTGTTTATTGTGCTATCTCTACTGTTGGGTATAGTTTGTTTGTTCGTTCATTCATTCATTTATTGTGTATTAATGTAATTGAAATTCAAATACCCTGTATGCATCCCTACAGCCCGGACAAGGCGGGTTCTTGAAATTAACCCGTGATCCAGTGGCACCCGTTGGAAAGCCCATCTGGATTGATGTTAATTGCGGAAAGGATCATGCTCTGAGCTCAAATTGAAAAAAAAGACATCTCCGTTTTATTGAGATAGTATCCAGCAAGGTCTCTCCAGGGAAGGAATGTAGAAAATTGGGAGGGAAGGAAAAGTGTGCTATGTGCATTCGTTTAACACCGCTGTGGTTTTGAGAAAATGAAGAGCTTTGTGTTTCAGTCCAAACAGATTTGGCAAGAAGTGATGTTTAATTTGGAAAACATATTTAATAATCCATCTAATATCTTTTTTTCTAACAACAGGTTTTAACATTTCCTGGGATTTATTTGAACGTTGTGGAGACTATTTGTTTTTCAGCAATTTTTGTATTTTGTTGGAACTTATTATGTGGTTCCGTGTTGCCCATTTTTTCCAAACTTTTGCTGGGCATTACAGTCTGCAATTAAAGACTTATGTGAAGAATAAAATGCCTTTGATCAAGTGCCAATTTATGCCACCCCACAGGACACTAGTTTCAACATCATGCATAAAGAATGAGGAGAAAAAAGTCAGCCCTGATAAATTAGACTTGGATATTTGGAAGACTATTATGAAAGAAACTGCATTAGAAGCTCCCAATCCGTGCCCCTCTGAAGATCCTGTGGACTCATTCTCTGCTGCTACACGAGAATTGGTTCAAATGTGGCGACTGGCTGGGAAAGCTGTGCCAGAGAACCTAACTGAGGAGCAGCTGAGCATTGTTCAAGAACTACCTTCCAAATCTGCAAAGAAAAAATATCTTAAGTATCTAGCAATCAAAGAAGGCAAAAAGAAAGCAACAAAGGAGAAACAAAAAATAAGACAAGAAAGAGCAAAGTGTCTTCAAAAGGAAAAAGAAAATGAAGGAGGAGTTGAATTAAAGAACACATTTCTTTTGCAATTCTGGCAGCGGTCTTTTGATGTAATGTACAATTGGAGGGCTGCTCAGTCTATGATGTTTGGTCAGCCACTGATATTTGATATGAGTTATGAAAGCTACATGGCACAGCGAGAAATGGAGAACACTATCTCTCAGCTACTGGAGTGTGAGGGGTTCAACAGAAAATCTTTAGACCCATTCCACGTATATTTTTGTAACATGATCCCGGAGGGATCATATCATAAGGAGTTTTTGAAACGTTATGGGGATGCCTGGGATAGACTCTTGATAACAGTAACAGAAAAGTCATATGTTGACATTTTTCCGAAAGACAAGCTTGTGTATTTAACTGCGGATTCACCTTCTGTATTGAAGAGTTTTCAGCATGATAAAATCTACATCATTGGGTCAATTGTTGATAAATCAATTCAGACAGGGTTGTCCCTTGCAAATGCAAAGCGTTTAAAGTTGGCAACTGCACGCCTTCCTTTGGACGAGTATTTGAAATGGGATATTGGTGCAAAAAACCTTACATTAAATCAAATGATCAGCATTTTGCTTACTGTGAAAGAAACTGGTAACTGGCAAGAAGCTCTCAAATTTGTTCCAAAAAGAAAACATGAAGGATTTTTACCAGTTCCAGAACAGAAATACTGTAATCAATCTAAAAGTTACCAGAACAAGACAAGAATTGACAAGGAACCAATAAAGAAAGCCAGGAGGCAAAAGTCAACTTTAAGTTTAAGTCAAGGCGTAGAAAAATCATCAGATAAGAAAAGATGGTGGCTGGAGGAAGATTAAAGATCCTTAAAACATTTTAAGTACTGACTTACCTGAAAGAAATAGCTTTATTAGTACACAGAATTTCATACTGCATTGAAATATCAGAAGATGCAAGTCTGACTATTGTGCGTATCTCTCCATATCAGTGTGTTGATTTTAGACCATAATTACAAGAAAAACTGCAAAGCAATAAAAATTGTGTATTTAGCTCCCAGGTCAAATAGAGAATTATTCACTGTGTAACTGAAGCATACATACTAGGGTCATTCCGAATTGGATCCCTAGTTAGTGTGAATGAGCTGATTTCAGCCAGGTCTCTTTGTGATATTCCAAATTGGATTGCTTCTTCAGGACTTTGACCGTGTAAAAATTATCCAGGACTCACCAATTTGTTATCTATTAACTCGAACTCTTACTGGCACCAAGAACAGGATTAGGCAAACTGATTTTCCACATACCCACTCACCCTGCAAACATTCTGGCAAGAATTCTATTTGAATAATAACAACTTGAACAACCGGTGGCAAGAGTCATCATTCCATTTCATTTCCTATCTTATCCAGAGTGATAAATTACTGGACAATCTTGGGGAATAAAATGACACTTTTAACAAATTGGGTCTGTATTGAATTAATCATTATTTCCCAGAATAGTTAAGGGGAAGCTGAGAACATTGTATTTGTATTTGGCCTTACCATCCCTCAACCAGACAACCATTAAAAAGCAAACCAACTCCTCACTGTTGGTAGCTGTTTAGTGTCTACTGTTGAGATTACTTTGGTGTGAATTTTGAATGAGTGTATGATTGGGATTATATTTAATAATTAATACAATCACTTCCCCTGCTGCAATTCACTAAGTAGAATTAGTAGAATAACTAAGGTACAAGGTACTTGAGGACTTGTGGACTTGTGGTTTTTGGTATGAGCATGAGCTATGTTGTTTAGGAATGGTAGAATTATAAAAAGAAGTAAAACAAATTATTTGGATGGGGGGGCAACACTTACTGCTATCAAAGCAGTCAAACTCAACTGAAGCGGTTAAGAAAACAAGATTAACTTAGCAGTTAGAAATCTACCACATACCATAATGAGTCACTTTTGTAGAGCTTTCTTTCAAATGATTAACTGCCAAAAAATGCAAAATTAAAACAGAACATCTACCTGATCCACAAAAAGGTATATCTGCCCTGAAAGATTGAAAGAAAGTTGTTAAATGTACAAAGGAATTTCACCAAATAATTTGATGGAGACAATTTATAGTTTTCATTTAATTTTAGTATTTGTTTTAAAAACAAATCCTACGTGAAAGAAAAGGTTTTGAAAAGATATGGCAGCAGGATGGGTAAATGCAATTAGAACTACTTAGCCACATAGGGCTGAATGGTTCATTACCATAATGTAAGTTCAATGAATGAAGTTGTCACTGTAGATCTGATTGGGTTATAGCTACATATTTTCTCTAAACATTTAATTTCAATAAATTAAACATTGTCAATAAAGACTGTAATTTAGAACAAAATAACTGGAAAACATTGTTAGTAGTAAAATGCAAGCAAAAGTCGTGCATCGCTTTTTCAGAAACATTTTAGTGGTGTGTCAACCCGACACAACATTTGTTGAAGTTATGTTGACATAATTGTGTACATATGTATAATTCTGTATATATCAATGTGATTGAAAACATTTCAAATCTGGCAGTTGAGAGATAGAAGCATCGCTGAAGAACAGAAGCTTGGACATTTTTGCATAATGTTTTTAAGTTGGGTGATTTTTTTTTTTAAATAGCTGCCCTGTCTGCATGTTGTAATTTCTGTGTATGAGTATATTTTCTGGAAGTATAAAGTGCTAGGTCCTTAATGTCCGGACTGCTTCTGATCTCTGGTTGGCCTACTCCAGTATTAAGAAAATAAGAGTGAACAGTACTATATTTAGGGCCTTTTCAACACAAGACTTTTCAAGTCACTTCACTGCAAAGCAAGTCCTTTTGAAATATAGTCACACTATTATTGTAATCTAGAAAATATAACTGCCAATCTGTATCAGCAAGTTCTACAAACAGCAATTAAATAACAGATGAGACTTCCTACTTTGAGTGTTAGTCATGAAAGAAATTTATTTGTACATTGCTAGCTAGGACAGCATTTATTGCTTATCCCTCATTGCCCTGGAGAAGGCAGTGGTGAGTTGCCTTCCAGAACTGCAGCAATCCTGTTGGAAAGGGAGCTTCAGGATTTTGACTTACTGATGATGAAGAAATGGTGATATAGTTCCAAGGCAACATGAAAGGTAGCTTGGAAGGGAACAGGTAGGTGATTGCATTTCAATGCATCTGATACCCTTGGCCTTCTAGGTGATGTAGGTCATGGGTTTGAAGAATGCTGTCAAAGAAACCTAGTTACTGCAACGAATCCTGTAGATGGTTCACACTGCTGCCACTTTTGTATTAGTGACAAAGCGAGTAAATGTTGAAGTGATGGATGGGATGCCAATCAAGCAGACTTCTTTGTCGTGGATAGTCTCAAGATCCTGCAATGTTTTTGGAACTACGTTCATCCAGACGAGTGGAAAGTATTCTATCACGCCCCTAACTTGTGCCTTGTAGATCATGGGCAGGCATTGAGGAGATGGGAAGTGAGTCACTTGTTGCAAAAATTCAAATTGACTAGCTGTTGCAGGCCTAGCATTTATAGGTATTATGCTGTCCAATTCAGGTTCTGGTCAATGACCAGAACAATTGCTAAAATTCCCCTGCTCTTTTTTTAAAATAGTGCTATAAAATCCTTAACATCACCCTGAGATGAGAAAATTGGAGGCTCAGTTTGCCATCTCATCCTAAAAACCATAGCCACCGCAGTGAGGTCAAGTGGCATTTGTGAAGAGATCAATCAAGTTATCATTTCAAATACAGACTCCTCATCTGAATTAGGTCAGTGGAATTAAAAGAAAAGCTGTTCAATATAAGAGCAAGCTCAACCGCACAGAGGGATGTAATAGTGGTTGGATCACTATTCAAGGAAGAATCAGAGATCTGCTGGCTGTATAATGAAGACGGAGGTGTGGATATCCATAATGGAAAGGAGCTGATTAAGACCACTAAAGTGGAATTCATTTAATTGGAGACAACAAGGTGCAGGGCTGGATGAACACAGCAGGCCA